GAGGAAAACAACGCGCGGTCAAGCCGCCTCACAGTTCAAGAGTAGCACTGAAATGGCTTCCTTGTAAAATACTTTAGATTTAAATTATCTAGCAAAAGTCCCGTTAAAAGGCAGAACTAGTTAGAATAAAAAAAAAAGACATCCTGAAAATATGTCGAGATAGTTCTACGGAAGTTCAAAATTTGAAATGCAGAGGTGCAAACCCAAGACTCCATCCAGCTCCTGAGGAGTCAATTCATCCATTTATCTCAACTCGCCTTTCAAAACAAGAAATTCGTAGAACAAAGCAACATCGTGTTTAGTCTTTTGGTGTTTTCATTTTCCCGTCCGTCTATGAACTCTTCTACTGATGAATCTAGGCTCGGGTTTGAAGTATCTTTCTAAAGAAAAATGTGCTTAAGCTCTTAGAAATGTGCTATTTGTCAGTCAAGAAGAGTGGCGAGCGAGCGACACGGTTCTGTTCACTAGTGAGCAAAACCATGTCGCTCGCTCGCCGCTCCTCTTGACTAACAAATAGCACATTTTGTACTAGCGAAGATAATGATATAGCCAATCAGAGCGTCGATACGTCGTTTTTCACTGGTGAAAAAAATCGTATGGCTAATCAGCTGGCTTCTCTAGCGCGAAGATACTATTTTTATCTCGATGCTTTTTGGTGCGTAAATCTCGGTATGTATATAATAAGTAAATAAATAAAATATATATATATATATATACATATATATATACGGAAAAATCGAAACGCAGACTTCCTATACATATATATTTTAAATCAATAAAATCCCCTGATGAGTGAGTAATCACGTAATCATCATGATAGCGTGACCAATGCACGAGGACAAAAACGTTCCAGGAACCAATTCCAAGGTCGTGTGCGCATGATCCCCGGAAATGAAGTCCGGCGTTAGACCAAGATATTTCAAATGTTCGGAAACGCCTTACCGAGATTTTCTAAATTGTATCCAAACTCCACCGTATCGCCAATATAAGATTGAATTGAAAGACAGAGACACTTTGGTATAAAAAGAATTCACGGTAAAATAGGAAAAATCTTATTCTAACTAATTAGGACAGAAAATTACCTAGTGTTAAAAGACGAAATTGGCATCGAGCAAAAATTCTCATTTTCATTTGACTTATTTAAACGTTGAAAATGAATGGAAATAATATATTACCATAAGCCATTCAGTAAAAATTATAATAAGCCAGTTGATCATTTCTTATTCCTTTTGGCGGTCTTATCTTACGGGTATAATTTAGCGCGCTCGACACCTCTACTATTAGAGGTGACTTAAGGTGTGAACATGTAGTACTTTTCATCCTCCGCACTGAATTTATAATCAAATAACTTATACGAATAGCACGTAGGTAGCTCTTTTAGGGGCGGTACCTTGGGTACGCCTTTCTTCTCCGAATTTTCTGTTTATTCTGCCGTAATGTAACAGTCTTCAAGGACTCTTTTCTCTTAGGATATCTCCTCAACTATGATTTTAATTCTGTTAGTAAGTTTATTATAATTTTATATTGTCAATCTTGTTTTTGTTTTGCCCGAACTTGATCGTAAGACTAAGAAACTTAAGTTTCACAGTTTTTCGAGAGCGAAGCTCGAGGGAAACTGTTCTCATCTTGGAACAGACTTTGTCCGCGGACAAGGATACGTGCATATTTTCGCGCAAATAAAGGCTATTGTCCGTATATCCCCAATAGGAATTGATAGATAGATAGACACATAGATAGTTTAATCATCAATACTTTGCAGCCCGAAGTACATAAAAAAGTATGCATAAAAAAAAAGTATATAAAAAAAGACTAAAAATCTACGTATGTATATTATCAATACAGGATCTAATAATAAAAATATTCCTAAAACGGTAAGTCTTGCATTTAGGTACGAGCATAACGTGACGGTCCACAATAATCTATGACCATCTCAGTTCAATAGCCTCCTGGTAGGGCAGTCCTGGGCAAATTATAGACATTGCCCGCTTTTCAACTCGCACTAGCTCGTCTTTTAGGTACTTTAGCAGGGCATAAAAAAAAGACGGGTGCCGCGTACGTAATAATAGAGCGTATACAAGCAGTATAAAAAGTGGACATATCCCTGCCGGGGAACTCTTGATCTTTTTACTTGCACTAAAAAATATTGACGCCTTGACGCTTTTTTCACTAATATGCTCGTTCAATGTAAGGTTGCTCGTAATGGTCAGACCTAGTAGTTTAGCACTAGACACCATCTCTAGTTCATTATCATCTACTACAATAGGCGCAAACCGGGGCTCATCTTTTACAAAAGATATCCTGAGCTCCTTACATTTCTCGCTATTGAGGTGGACTCTATTCTGCGTAGACCACTCAGTAACCTTATACGCGATCTCCAGGGCACAACTTCGGTTGCCCCTGACAACTACTTCAGATACGGTCATATCGTCAACGTACTTCCCTACATTAGCTAAATAATCAACATCTAAATCATTTATAATTACAAGAAATGGTCATGGGCCTTATTGTTTCCCTGAAGGACCCCGGAGGGCAATTATTCTGACAGATAGGAGGAAATTCACCAAACCTCTCTTACATCATTACATTACGAAGAGTTGCATCAAGCATAGTTGCAAAGAACTCTTATAAAACTACATTCATTTTGGTTTACGTTGATTACATTTCATAGACACATGGATGAGTCTTTGATTGGAACATCCGAGAGGCCCTGTCGAAATAATAAGAGCTGTCCTTAGAGCTGCGATTTAAGTACAACCATTCTAAAGTTCAGAAGTCATAGAAGAGCTAACTTTCCTTTTAATTACTTTTCGTCAAAAAAGGAAAATTTAGACAGATAAATAAATAAATAGATAAATAATGAATGAAAAGATATGAATGACAATTGAAGAATAAAAATAAATTGATAAAAACGAACGAGTGAAGAGGAAATGAAGGATAGAATTTCCAAATATTAAATGAAAACGTGGTGTTGATGACACAGTACCAACTCTATAAAAAAAATTGACACATGGCCTGTGTAACTAGGTGATGAATGCTTGCTTTTTAAAAACAGCAAATGGTAGAAGGCCGACCAGTTGGCTATTTACAAGCATGGTGGAACTGTTGAGCTTGGAACAATTAAAAAGAAAATTCAGACAGCTGTGATAGCGCGTCTCGAACCTGGAGCTTCCGGGCTACGAGTACCATGCTCTCACCCAGCTATGCTTTCTCTGTTGGCTAATTAGATCATGTTAGCCCACTGACGAGAAGTCAAATACCAATTTCATACTTTTTTTTAAAAAAAGTAAATGCTTCATCAGGTGCTTACCCCAAAAGGATTGCGAACGGCGCTTTCAAAAAATTTATCCAGCAAATCGTTCGACCATGGTCGATCCTCAGGGTTCCTGCAATTGAAGCAAGTATGAATAGTTCATCCTTACTACGTCTAACATTTCCATATACGTTTTGACCATACAAACCATGTCAAAGCAGCCGTAATAAGATCCTTTGTAGCTTTTGATATATTCTCCGGCAAGTTTGGTTCCGTTGGCCTAGTTCCAATACGGAACGTGGCCGCTGTTGCTTCGAGGTCACCCAGCGGAGGTTTTCCCGTCAACATTTCCACAACAGTACAACCCACACTCCTTTATAGGAAAGAAAGAAACCATCTCTTTGAGACCAGAAATGCATCTTAAACAATTATTTAGATCAATTCTAATCGTCATACTGTCATGAAAATTGACCCTCTCTTTCATGAAATTAGATCCAGGGAAAGGAGTGATAGTCTCGTAAAAACAGTCATCGGCGGAATAGGAGGAACGCGAAGGAGCAGGTCTATCACAAGTAGTTAGACGGCTAACTTCATAGCATTCCCACTTATTCCCTTGCAGCACTCTCTGCCTCTGTCTCTGTCTCTCTTTATCTTTCTCTGTGTGTTCTACTCATCATGAAGTCAGTTAAACTTACCAAATGTCTACCTTTCTACCGTATCCTTCTTCCCTGAATATTTCTGGTGCCATCCAGTAGGGAGTGCCGCAAATGGATAAAAGATTGGTGTCACTCCCAATTTTCTGGGTATGGATGAAAGAGACCAAGAATCTTTTAAGAAATGGAGCTTGGGAGGGTAAACATTTGAATTTCACACCAAAGTATCTTTCTCGCCGAGAGTTGAGAGGAGCGGGGTTGACTAATTTGTTTCAAAGTATGCTCTCACCAAGTCGCCCAAGACCAATGACTCCCCCACAGGCCTCCTCATAGGTCAAAATCAAAGACAGTTTCGGACGTTCAGGATGGGGTTTGCAAGGAATTATATGCAACATTTGAAATCGCCGAATTGCGAGTAAACAAACAAGTTTTCCACCTCCAAATGTAAAATCAATGAAATACCACAGAGAGCAGAGCCCTATTTGTGGCATCCAAAAGTTTTTATATCTGTTTACGACGGCTTATCGTCTTCAGCCGGTACATTTTTCAGGAAAAGAAAGTGATAATGTCTTTTTATAAGGCTTAGGAAATGCATTGTAATCATATCTCTGATATTGCCCGTGTGCATTTTGTGAGAATCCTATTCCTGCAAAATCAACCAAATAAAGTGCACGTTGTGACGGTATCCGGTCAATTCACCACCAAAACGAACTTGCTAGCACAAAAATCGCCATGCACCACTAAAAGTCAAATCGCCACCGGCGACGATTTGACTTTTTCGTTATGTGTAGTCTGTCGTTCGAAAGTTATATTAAATGAAAGCTAAAACGTTGTATTGTATGGCGAAAAGGGGAGGGATTAAGAAGTCATGTGTAGCCTCTCAATTATGGAACGTTAACCGTCCATGAAATAAAACTTGTTGATATCACTAAGACTATGATCAGTTTGCGTAAAGCGAAACCAGAGTAATTTTCACCGAGTGATATTCGCCAAGTGATTTTTGCCGATGTTTATAAAACCGTATGAAACTTACATCAAATAAAGGCTAAGAAGTAGTAGTATATTGCGACAAAGAGCTCGCACAAATACAACGAAGTTTACAGAAACAGACTTGGCGTCCTCTCTTTCTTTAAAGCACAAAGAATGTCGACGTGACCTTCAACACGAGTTTTGTCCTAACAAACACATTTCTTAATCAAACCCAATGAAGATTATATCATATGAAAGCCTAGATTTTGAAAGTTGTCTCATTTTTCAGTTTTGATGATGCGAAATTGAGAGTGTGGGCGAAATTTTGCTGAAAGCGACTTGGCGTCCTCAAGGAGTCCCTGGAGGGCAAACTTTGATGTTCCCTCCGACGGCCGCGTTCGAATTGCTCGATCAATATCGTTGCAGGAGGAAGTATAATCGTTAAAGGGTCTTTCTCTGACTTTTGGATTAGGGGGTACACCCTAATCGTTACTTTCAGTAGTAACAAGTTTGTTGTGGTAGCGAATTGACCGTGAACCGTTCTGCCCACTACAAACACAATCCGCATCATAGGATATAATTAATTGAAAGGATCCAAAATATCATAGAATTGTACCTGAATTATTTTTGATAGTCTGAAGTCTGCCAGTTTAACATTTCCATATTCATCTAAAAGGACTTTTGATCCTAAGAATATATGAATGAATCGATTAGGGATTAATGAAGACTTCAGGTAATGCACAGCATACGGCAATTGACATGAGAGCGAAGTTTACTCCAACTAAAGTGATTAATACCGGTATCAGGCATCGCCCTGAATTTTTATTGTGGATTAAGTACTTGAATTGTGTGAGGTAAATTTCAAAGACAATTGCAAATAAAGACCACGTATGAGGAAGAAGACAAAAACTGGCATCTCACACAATTATTTGCGTGATGGCTAATCAATGTATTTACTACAATATTTAATATGTATGATCTATGCACCTTTGATGTCCCCATGAATAATTTCTTTTGAATGTAGAAAAAATACTCCTTCCAACATTTGCATGGTGTACTTCCTCGACTCTTCTTCTGAGAGAACTTTTTTCTCCTTTATGCGATCAGACAATGATCCCTATCAATAATATCAAACAATACTTAGCGTGCTTAACGCCAAAATTTCGGTATTTTTCATGTAGATTAGATAAACAATAGCATGCATTTAGTGCGAAATTGTGCTCGTACACTTTTCCTTATCTGTTCCTTAAAGAGAACAGTTTTCCGTAGGAGAAGCTCGAGGAAAACTATGAGCTTCAAGGAACTTTTTTTGTCCAAGAACAAACGTACGAGCATAATTTCGCGCCAGATGGAGGCTACTGTGTCTATCATCCTATGTAATATTTTTGCAGCGCGGAAGACTAAATGTTCACGAAAAGTTTACCTTTCACTGACTGGGATGTTCACTTTTCAGTGTTCGCTGGTACGACTTCATAAACGAACAAATATGTCCCTTATTTGCAAAAACACCAAAACGCTGTCTTATCTTGAATTTTATTCTTAACACCGACTTTAGGGACTCACTTAGAGAATATTACCCGATTTCCTTTGTTCTCGGTGGGGCATATTAAGTAACTTGACGTTTTGAGAACAAAAGCGCTCGAGCAAAATCATTTCATGGATTACAATTCACAGCTATTCGTTAAAGTGGAGGTGGCTGGTGGTGGATATTTACATGGCCGCTACTGAGCCACAGACACAGAGGTAAATAGTTGCTTTAGTATATTCAGGAGATTATTGGCAATTTATAACCTATTGGTATAAACTAAATCAGTGAGATAATATCAGATGGCACATGAAGATGGGCCATGTTGGCTATCTATCATCTCACATCCAACGTGCAATCGCGGAATGATTGCTAAATATATTTCCAATAGTAATAAAGTTAACCAAGGTAGATTGAAGAAATATAGAATCAGAAAAAGTTAATGTTCGCTATCCAGAATTGGAAGTCGCTTAAAGAAAGCGTTATCAGCTGTATCCTGAGCTATAGTAAAACTTAAGTTTATTTTGATTTCAGTAACGCCCCTCATCTCAATTAATACCCATCAAGACTTTAGAACATTCAAAAGGTTATATTAATCATTCATCAACCGCAGAGGCATTAAATATTGCTCTTCTTTAAACTTACCCCTCTCATCAATTCCATAAATAGATGGAGATGATTGTCTTTCTCTACGCTTCCATAATAGGCCACAACTCGGTCGTGTCTGATTTCTTTCAAAATATTGATTTCATTGGTGAGGAGCTCCACCTCCTGGAATTTCGAAGAAGTAAATTTTTCAAGATAAATGAATTCTTCGTGAATCCGAAGAGAAGGCTCATTTTTAATTCATAGACAAATTTTTTTAATGTAGTAGTAACCGTATAGCTAAAAATCGGATGTTTTCTTAAATGAAAACATTTACATCAAAGGGTACAAGACTAACCTTTTGCGATTGAGTATACTGAGGCTCTATCTTGACTATTTTCACAGCACACGGGCCTCCATAGTTTCCCCTTGGAAAAGTACACTCATACACCTGAAAAAATTGCCCAGATTAAATCGTTTATCAGTTGCCGTTTTTAGAAATAAAATCGACTATCTTAGAAGGAGCTACGAAATCTTCTCTACTCTACAAACAGTGTTGTCTTCGCAACAAGAATGGAGTGTGCCTACGGCGGGGTTACCCTGTAAGAAAGCAAGTCTGTTCTCTGTTGGAGTTGTTGCAACGTGGTACGTGACTTCCTCATTTAATTCTGTAGAAATAATATTGTGAGCCTTCTTCGAACTTTATTACCGGTGACGGTAGCTCTAAATTTGCGTCGAATTTTGTTTTATGTTAAATTCCATCAAATAATATATAGATTTAGCCAAGCCTAACAGCGGAGCTCCTGTAAGTTTATTTTCCAGCCCTTCATTATAATAAGAACTGTTATAAAAGTCTTCAGCACTGGTTGCAGAAGAGTTTCTTTAAGGGGATTCAGGACCAGTCCGGGGAGGGGGGGAAGGATTTGACAAGGTCACGCCACCTGCCAAATTGTACCATGTCCGACCATTTCCCGAGGCGGATAAATAGCAACAGAGGAACCAAACAAAGGTTTGTAAACATACCGAGCGCCGTAATTTACGTTATTATAACGTGAGCAGAGACGAAAATTCTCACAAAGAAAACGCAATCGACAGTATGAGTTTTGAAGGTTTTTTCGTTCAGTTAGATTGCAGCCTCACGTACGGTAGTAAGAATTCAACACAGCTAACACTTGTAAAGAAAGTATAGTTTCTTGTTCAAAAACAGAACAAAAAAGGAATGTGGAAGATATGACCAACTGGTACAACTGTTAGAATTCATACTAATCATGAATCATGCCGAGATCCATCGTGGCTAGCTCAACATTATGATATTCGGTCATCGCAGTGAAGAAGCCTTAGAAATAACATCGGCCGCCCTTCGAGTGAACAACTAAGAGCTTGCCCTAACATACTTTCCGATGCGTTGAGTGGACCTCAACGCATCGGAAAGGATGACGCATCAGTCACAGCAGGCGAGTTTTATGGCGCCGTCATCCCGAGCAATCTCTATGTTCCTGTAAATTCGGCTGTTGTTCATTCATGAAGCACAAGCCTTGAACAGTTTGTTTCCTAACTGTCATGTGAAAAAACTTGCGTGTTTTTATAATTATGAGCTTCGATTCGGCCGGATATCACTGAACATGTCTTTTAGTTTCTATTTTAGAGACTTGAAACTTCAGGGGAAAGTGTCAAATTCGACCTGCCGACCTACCTATCAGTTTGTAAGATAGTGCAGATTGTTAACTTCAAGTTTGTGGTTTGACAGCTTCAGTCTTGTTCAACCAATCAGATTATTTGAACCATTCTAACAAGGATTCTAATCGGCTTATTGTAGCATGCTTTATGAGTGTGGAGCATGCTGAACTGTTGTTCGCTTTGGAAATAATATTTGTTTCAAAAATTGAAAGTAACGCGTGGGGAACTCAACGGATTCTTTATTATAAAAAAATAGGGAAGCCTTGACTGCGCTCTGTACTGTTGTAAAGCACTTAGGAAGCGGCATGAGTACTCAAGAAGTAAGAACTAAGAGATGTGTATGCGTGTTTCTCCCTACTCTTCTTTCATGCTCTAGCCGCTTTCTGCGAGCTTTACAACAGAACAAACGCATCACGTGACCGGATATGCCTCCCGGGTAAATTGGGGAATATCGTATTTCCTTGAATAAGCGCCCGCGCTCAAATAAGCGCCCCCTTCGAATAAGGGCCCCCCTTAATCAATTTCAAATTAGTAGGGGAAACAAAAAAAACCTGGTTCTATCGCCAATTTATTCATAACCTTAAACGACAGCGGGATCGGCAAAGGATAATAGTTTCTCTTATGAAACAGTTATTTCTATCTCCGTGTGCTTGCAGAGTTCCTCTATGTGTGTTACCTGTTCTTTTAAATTTTGTCATATTGCTGCGCTCTTGGTAAATGCCGTAATCTTCCCAGGCATAACTACTAGCCTTCGAGGACCAGTGATTTCTAGCATTAATGAGTTATTGGGGTGTGTTGGAAGAGCGTAGTCGATAAGGAATGATAGGTCAATCAGAATGCGACCAACAAGCTATAAACTGTCAGAGCCATGCACATGATTCACTTTGTAATTTCTAATTACATCGTCGTCATACTTCTTGACCTCTTCCCTTTGAGCTCTTTGAGCAAATAAGTCTTTCCCCATTTGTACATACAAACGAAAGATTTAAATATTGACTTCACGTCTACGTCTATTTAAGATATGGCCAAAATAAGTTAGAGTTCGTTAAAAGGAAAACTTAATAAGCGCCCCCCTTTCAGCCGAAATTTTAAATAGGCGCCCGGGCGCTTATTCGAGGAAATACGGTGTATATGCGTTGTTGACCAAGCGTGAGGTTAAGATTGGCTGGATATTGGACAAGTTCTTTTTTGTATTTTTACGGACCGAGACAAAGCAGAGGTCTATAAAAATGCAAAAAAAAAAAAGAAGAACGAGGTTAAAATCCAGCCATCTTGACCGAACAAGCTTGGTAAATAAAGGATTTATTGTACAGCAAATAGGTTTCGCTTCAATTTTAAGAGAATCAAGAATGACTTATCAAATTTCGAGCTACGGTTTTTGTAGCACAATAGATTCACGATAAATGGTTAAGAATATATGAAAGTGCCTTTTTTTTGTTTTGACTGTCTACTACCGCTTTTAAAACTCCATGACTAACATTTTCAAAAAATTTCTAAATTTGTTAGTCCACCCACGCAATTTTTCTTTTCTTGCGCGGTATCAAAGCGGGAATGCGCAAGATGGGCTCCTCTTGCCCGCACGGGTAGCCAATCGGAACACAGTATTCACTTCATATTGCCCACGGGTGCCGCCTGCTATTTGGTAACCGGTGTTGATCCCCAGTTTTTAGACCTTACGTCCACCACGATAAAAGTCTGCCTTTAAAGTGTATTCAAGATGAGAGAATTTTTTGTGGTTGTCACAGAAGAAGAGATACATTTGTTTTTTCATTAATTCGTAACAGAGAACATTGAAAAAGGAGCGAGCAAACAACAAGCTGATCGTTAACATTTTGTTCCACGCGCTGCTATAATACTGTAGGATAAGAAACACAGTAAGCTTTTTTACTATGTGATCCAAAAACCGTGATTCCAACCTACGCTTAGAATTAGAGCTAATCCGAACTCACTGTTGATTGAACAATAGGGCTACTCTTTCAGATTACTCAGTTTCAATGAGGAGCACATTTTAACCAAAGATTATTAGTCGGTCAAGTCTCACAAAATGCCGAGTACAATCATGTTATTTTCTGACATTTATTTACTTTTACGTCAAATCCTCGTTTAAAATATAAGTTAACGTACCTTGCCAAAAGCTCCGGCTCCAAGACATTTGCCCAATAACCAGTATCGAAAAGGATTTGCTACAAGGAAAGTTGTGAACGTGTTCAATTGTTGGCTTTCTGGGTTTCAGGACTGACTATTTATGAGCCATATCTTAGTTTTTAATGTTTCTTTCCTTAGATTGAGTATTACAAGATCAAACTTTAGGGCAGTGAGACCCACTAGAAAGGAAACTATTACTAAGTTCGGACGGAGTAACTCACAACCTAGCTTGCTCGAGCCGGGCTGGGGAATATTGGTCCGAGGTTACATGCAACAAACTGGATATTTTGGCAAAACAGTTGTAGAGCAAAAAACAGTAAGCAACCTTTAAGATAAAGTAATCCCCCTTCCCTTACTGAACTGCACGGTATGAGCCCATGACCCGAGATGTTCTCAATTGTGGGTTATGAGTATAGCAGTATTTTAGACATGTAGGTCATAACGATAAAATACAGATGGTCACATAGCTCTGTGTGAAAGCTCAGGGAGTGGGTAGGGTAAGTTCTTAAAACCCCCTTGGTCAACAGGCATTTTTCTCTGAGGCTGGAAGGGGCATGTCTTGTTCATCCTGGTTGAAAGCCTGCATTGCAGGACTGGAAGCCAGACTTTAACCTGTCACTCCCCGTTCACTGAGCTAACACTCCATGGCTGGAGGGTGGTTGGGTGTCTAAAGTATTCCTTTGGGCAAGGGGGCTGAATTTACATTGCCTTTAAGCCAGCCCGGCCTAAGAAAGTGCAGAGGGCTTAACCTCATAGCAAGTGCCCGCATGCAGCCCAGCCACCAGCTTATCCAAGGGTGGGTTGCAAATGGCTCTTTGTGGAAAGCTCGGGGGTGGGAAGGGTCGGTTTTAACTTACCACACATGAGGGATTTACATTTTGCAAAGGTGGACACCTTGGTCAAGTTCTTATGAGGCTGAATTTGTTTTGGGCTTTGTCCATTGGTCTAGATTCAGACCCATGCTTTGTGGCATCCCTTCAAGTGAACTAGATCATTTTGGCTGGGGGTGGGGTAGGACTGGGGACATTTTCAATACTGAAGGGTTTTTTTCTTGGATACTGACTTTGAATTTGTTTTTTGAGCATTTTCTGATGAATTCACTCAAATGTATACATACCTTTGAGTGCTATCAATTAGTGTAAGTAAATGTGACTCCTCATAGAACCCACGTGTCTATTGATAATCTTCGTATGACGTCTTACACCCGAATAAGTTATCACTTAATGTTTTTTTTTACATTGAGATTTCTCAAACAACGTACTGTTGAGAATGATGCGAGGTTTAAACAACCTAATATGATTGAAAAGGAGCTCTAACTTTCCTTTGATTACTTTTTGTGAAGAGGAAGGAAAATTTGGACAGATAAATAAATAGATAAATAATGGATGAAAAGATATGAGCGAAAATTGAAGAATGAAAATAAATTAATGAAAACGAACGAGTGAAGAAATGAAGGATAGAATTTCCAAATATCAAATGAAAACGTGGTGTGGATGACACAGTAACAACTATATATTTACAAAAATTAACATGTAGCCTGTGTAACTAGGGGTTGAATGTGTGTTTTTTAAAACCCCAAATGGCAGAAGGCAAACCATTTGGCTATTTACAAGCATGGTGGAACTGTTGAGCTCAGAACAGTTGAAAGGCAAATCCAGACAACTGTTAAAGCGTGTCTCGAACCTGGAACTTCCGCATTGCGAGTACCATGCACTCACCCTGCCACGCTTTCTCTGCTGGCTAATTTCATCACGTCATCCACTGACAAGAAGTCAAATACCAATTTTATATTTTTGTTAAAAAGTAAATGCTTCATCCGGTCCTTACCTCTTGGAGATTCCAGAAAAAATTTACACAACAAATCTCTCGACCATGGTCGTTCCTTAGGGCTCCTACAATTGAAGCAAATATGAGTAGTTCATCCCTACTACCTCTAACATTTCCATATACCTTTAGACCATACAAACCATGTCAAAGCAGCCGTAATAAGATCCTTAGTAGCTTTTGATGTTTCCTTCGGCAACTTTGGTACCGTTGGCTTGGATCCAATATGGAACATGGCCGCTGCTGGTTCGAGGTCACCCAGCGGAGGTCTTCCCGTCAACATTTCCACAACTGTACATCCTACACTCCTTTATAGGAAAGAAAGAAACCATCTCTTTGAGAACAGAAATGCATCTTAAACAATTATTTAAATCAACTTTAATCGTCATACTCTCATGAAACTTGATCCTCTCTTTCATGAAATCAGATCCAGGGAAAGGACTGATAGCCTCGACGTAAAGACAGCCATCAGCGGAATGGGAGGAACGCGAAGGAGCAGGTCTATCACAAGTAGTTAGACAGCTAACTTCGCAGCATTCCCACCTTATTCCCTTGCAGCACTCTCTCTCTCTGTGTCTCTCTCTATCATCTCTATATGTGTTTTACTTATCATGAAGACAGTTAAACTTACCAAATGTCTACCTTTCTGCCGTATCCTTCTTCCCAGAATATTTCAGGTGCCATCCAGTAAGGAGTGCCGCATTCGGTTAAAAGATTGGTTTTACTCCCAATTTTCTGGGTATGAATGAAAGAGATCAAGAATCTTTTATCTTTTTCTGGCTGATTTGTTTCAAATTATGCTCTTACCACGTCGCCCTAGACCAATGACCTCACAGGTCAATATAAAAGACAGTTTCGGACGTTCAGGATGGGGTTTGCAAGGAATTATATGCAACATTTGAAATCGCCAAATTGTGAGATGTAAAAAAATTGTGAAATGTAAAATCAATGAAATACCGTTAATCACTACCATGCTCACAAAGAGCAAAGCCCTATTTGTGGCGTGTTAAAATTTGTGAAGAATCTCTTCGTGTGATCGCATCATGGTTTTTCACAGTAATAAAATCCATACACAAGTTCTCATATCGGTTTATCGCGGCTTATAGTCTTCAGCCGTCTGTTTGTAAGGCTTAAGAAATGCATTGTCATGATATGTCTGATATTGCTCATGTGCATTTCGTGAGAATCCTATTCCTGCAAAATCAACCAAATGAAGTGCGCGTTCTGTCGGTATCTGGTCAATTCGCCACCACAACAAACTCGCCAGCGCAAAACTCGCCAGCGCAAAACTCGCCATGCACCACTGAAAGTCGAATCGCCACAGGTGGCGATTTGACTATTTCGATATGTGTAGCCTGTCGCATGAAACGTACATTAAATGAAAGCTAAGATGTAGTATTGTATGGCGAAAAGGGAAAGGGACTCGGAAGTTGTGTGTAACCTCTCAAATATGGAACGTTAACTGTAAATGAAATAGAATTTGTTGATACCACGAAGATTATGATCGGTTTGCGTAAAGCGAAACCAGAGTGATTTTCACCGAGTGATAATCGCCAAGTGATTTTCGCCGATTTTTATGAAATCGTATGAAACTTACATCAAATAAAGGCTAAGAAGTACTAGCATATTGCGACAAAGAGCTCGCACAAATACAGCGAAGTTTACAGAAACAGACTTGGCGTCTTTTCTTTCTTTAAACCAAAAAGAATGTCGACGTGACCTTCAACATGAGTTTTGTCCTAACAAACACAATTCTTAATCAAACCTAATGAGGATTATATCATATGAAAGCCTAGATTTTGAAAGTTGTCTCATTTTTCAGTTTTGATGATGCGAAATTGAGGGTGTGGGCGAAATTTTGCTGAAAGCGACATGGCGTCCTTACGGAGTCCCTGAAGGGCAAACTTTGATGTTCCCTCCGACGGCCGCGTCCGAATTTCTCGATCAATATCGTTGTAGGAGGAAGTATAATCGTTAAAGGGTCTTTCTCTGAATTTCTAAAATCTGACTTTTAGATTAGGGAGCACACCCTAAAGGTAGATCCCGAAATGCCAAACAAAATTTTGGCTGTTAAATTTTCCCAATTCTGAGGCGACGATCGATGAGTTAATCAGTGCTCAAATTGCCCAAAATGCGCTTCGAATTCACTTACTCTCACAAATTACTTTCTTTAGGTTTAGTATCTTGACTGGCTTATGAAAATTGGGTGTTTGTAGTAGTATGTGAAAGCCAAAATAGTTACTGAATTATTATAACTTCTGTTTGTTTTTAAGATTCGATTCAGATTTTATTTTGTTCGTTTTTTATTTTTCTTCTTTGTTAACTTTTGCTGGCTACTGAATTGACTTTTTTAGCATTTGGTGGTTTCTAAAGGAACCGTTTATTGAGAAAAATGTTTATTCATAAAAATGTGCTGTTAATGTTGCAAGATACTACATCCTAGTTTTCATTTGATGTAAATTTTCATGCGGTTCCTTAACATCGGCGAAAATCACCTGGCGAATATCACTCGGCGAAAATCACTCTGGTTTCGCTTTACGCAAAATAATCATAATCTTCTTGATATCAACAAGTTTTATTTCATTTAATGTGAGATTCACTCGACAGGCTACGCATAACGAAAAACTCAAATCGCCACTGGTGGCGATTTGACTTTCAGTAGTGGCGAGTTTGTTGTGGTAGCGAATTGACCGTTAACCGTTCTGCCCGCTACAAACACAATCCACATCAGAGGATATAATTAATTTAAAGGATCCAAAATATCATAGAATTGTACCTGAATTACTTTCGATAGTCCGAAGTCTGCCAGTTTAACATTTCCATGTTTATCTAGAAGGACGTTTGTTCCTAAGAATATATGAATGAATCAATTAGAGATTAATGAAGACTTCAGGTAATGCACAACATACAATTGACATGAGAGCGGAGTTTACCCCAGTGATTAATATCGGTATCAGACATCACCGAATGATCTCTCTTTGAACTTTTATTGTGGATTAAGAGAGAATTTTTCTGGAGACCGCGTGAAATCAAAAAAATGTGGCACATGCCTAGAAAAAGCCCTTCCTTCATACTTCGCTCAAAGATACCTTAGGGTAAGTCTATAAACGTGGTATAATTTTTTTGTTCAGAACTGTTTTTATTTTCTAGAAAAACACCAAACACTATATCGAGCCCCAACCGCCATAACAGTGGCCGAAATGAAGCCGACGAGTAGGGCAACAAAAACCTTATTCTTCAAAAGCGCAAAAGAAAGCAAGTCTTTCCGAATATTATCTATTTGTATACGAGGTATTAACAAATGATTTGAATCTAATAACGGGATTATTGACATAACTATGAATTATTGGCGAATATTTGAAAATCGCCAAAATTTGATTGATTAAAAATTTCATTTTGGAGCAGTTTTTCAATAAAAATTTTTCCTACTCGGTATAACTCGGAATCACTTGAGATGAGCATTTCTGAAAATTGGAAACGATGTTCTTTTCAAGGATATAAAAATTAATTTGGGGCTCTTAATTACTGCGAAGAAATAGCCCGATCTATTTCGTGCAAATCGCAACGCCGCCGTGTAAACAACCGCAGATAATCCAATTATTCTTTTATTATCGAAGCCATAATTTCTTCAAAATCTTACCGCTTTGAGCTGTGCTTTATCAGAAACTCAATATGTTACCCTTACCTTCTGAAACCAGTGATTAAGGAGTGATGTTTCCATTATTTTTGTTTCAAATCGCCATGTTCACTTGAGAAGTGTTTACAAGGTCCGGCTTGACCATTTACAATACTCGGAGCTGTTCATAAATCATCGCAAACCATCGCAACTCTTGACTTATTTCTGCTTCCATACAACTCCATTATATACAAAAGTCTTTTTAGCACGATAAACCAAGATGCTTTGATTACTTACAGTTTCAGTTAAGAAACGTTTGGCTCCCCAAATGGCACAACAATGTTCACCAACGAAGTCGTGTGTCATCACTCATGTTTGTCACGCAATCACGCTAAACGTGCACAGGACACCCAGACAGGAATTCGTCTGCAGACATCGCTGTACCGAGTGCAGGGCCAACTAATATTTATTTCTTAGTCAGTGTTATGTTTTAAACAAAAACCTGCACAAATTCACTTAAAAAACGCTGTAGATCTCTTTTGAGTGTTTTGAATCAGTGCCATTCTGAAAAACTACTTTTTGACGTTTTCGTAAATTTAGTCACCCCATGGTACTGACTATACATGCGTTGTTATCGACTCTATTTCCACGACTACGCGCTTGCAAAGATTCTATTTATCAATAGGCACTTTAAGCATGACGTTTAACGGAAAACGGCAAACGGCAAACGCAAGCTTGCCTTTCATTTTGTTACCTATTTATGGAATTCTTAAAAAAATCCTGCACAAAAAATAAAATAAAATAAATCAAACCTACTTAATTCCGTGTACACACGCCTAGAGACAGTCAGACAGACGACAGAAATTGAATTTTTGACGTTCGCGGGAAAAACAAACGTCATGCGTAACCTCTCAAATGACGAACTTCCCAGTTAACTAAAACAACTGGAAGTTAATTGTCTAGTGCTCCGTGATTATATACATCACCTACGTGTCCCTAGTGGATCGATAAGGTCTACCATGACCTTCAGTGGCAGGCAGGTTCCACGGTGAGGCGTTCTTTTCTAATGACACTGGAAAAATTCTACCGACTATGTAAACAGAACAACAGACTAACAATTTCGTGCTTTATCTAAGCACTTTGAACGTTAAACTTCACTAAAAACGTAAATCTTCGAGTCACAAAGTCGGCTGCTTGTATCAGGCCGCGAGACATTACGTGTTATTTGATATCGCCTGACTGTAGGTCATTACAATTACATTTTTTAAAGCTTTGGACTTACACAATCTCTGTTTTTTGTTTTTGTTGTTGTTGTTGTTTTTTTTTTAATTTTCCTTACGATAGCGTGCTCATCAATTTAAACCTTTCGATTTTGTACCTTGATTGCTACGATGATAATGGCCATCGCTAGAAACTTGACAGTTTTCTCAACTCGAACTCGGAAAAAGTTGTTTCCCGTCCCTTAATCAAACAATTAATCGGCCATTCTTTGAGATCCCGAATTCTCGACAAGACAGAGGCGGCGTACCCTCGGAGATTCAAGAAATCAGGAAGCTCCTCCATACCAGCTAACTGAATGGGTTTTATAAAGCAAAAAAAGAAAGAAAGAAAGAAAGAAAGGAAAAGAATACACTGTCATATACTTTGGGTGTTTTCCTGGTCAATGAAACCAATATTCAAGCTACATGTAGTTCGTCACTGCTGACAGGTACAGCTAAAACAAAGGGCTTCGATCTTGCTCACGTAAGGCTGCTTACGATGAACGGAGATATCGAGATACCGAAATATTGGAAGGCAACGTGAATATCGATGCCCGTGCTAAAATGAGATCGACTTCCGATTCAACATCATTCACGCCCACAGCCTGTTTGTGCGCTGAGATGTCTTTCTCACACAAGCGCAGAGGGACTATAAGAGAAGCTTTTCCTGCAACTCGACTTCGCTTATCTTGGGAGCAGCATCACCCAACTAATCTTTGAAAGGAGCAATTGATTTCCATTTGGTACGCTCATTCTTAAAAAAATCGGCGGCCAAACGAAAACACCATTTTAGTTTGCTTTGGAAAATTTATGGCGCGACGCTTATTATATGGTTAGAAACTGTGCCTAATCTAATTTATTTTTTTAGCGCTGAGTATTTTAGAAAGCCACTCCCAATGCAATTTTTCCACTCCTGCACCTGTCTACCCTGCAAGCCGTCACAATTTACAAAATAGGATAACACATTTTTTTACGTCGTTAAAAATTAATGCAGTGAAATTTCCTCTATGCTGTAGTAACATATACCTAATTCATTTAGCAGTCCAGGGTGACGCATGAGTGGTATCGCGCTTAAAAAATGCAAACAACGGTAATTTTAAATTCTGGATTTAAAACTTTTTCCCGGAAATAAAAAATAGGGGATAAGAAGGAAAGAAAATAAGAGCGTATTGGTAACCGAGCCTCCTTTCGAGTGACATGTTATTGCGTGACACCATCGCAAAAAACGAACGTCAATGATTCATTTCATCTGTCAGGATGCTCTGGCTCGTTCTATGAAAAACAAACTTCCATTCTTATTGTGAAAGGAAGACATGTAAAATGTGAGTGTTCCAAGCTGAAATATGGTTATAACTGTCCAGCAATGCGACGTTTCCGGCAGGAACCTTCGTGAGATGTTTTCACTGTGATTTGGTATACACCGCCTGTAGTGCTGTACTATCGAAGCTGTTGTCAAGTCTCTTTATAACAAGATTGAGGCAAGGAACCAATCTTAGAAAGGTGTTTTTCGCCAGGTGAGCCTAAGAAATCCAGTTTACAATCTAGTATAGGTCAAAGCGATAAGATTTTGTTGGAATTATGGCTTCGATAATAAAAAGCCTAATTGGATTATCTGCGGTTGTTTACATGGCGGCATTGCGATTTGCACGAAATAGACCGGGCTACTTCTTCGCAGTAATTAAGAGCCCCAAATTAATTTTTATATCCATGGAAAGAACATTCTTTCCACTTTGTAAAAATGCTCATCTCAAGTGATTCCGAGTTATACCAGGTAGGAAACATTTTTATTGAAAAACTGCTCCAAAATGTAATTTTTAATCAATCAAATTTTGGCTATTTTCAAATATTCGCCAATAATTCATAGTTATGTCAACAAGCCCGTTATTAGATTCAAATCATTTTTTAATACCTCGTATACAAACAGGTAAAATTCAGAAAGACTTGCTTTCTTTTGCGCTTTTGAGGAATAAAGGTTTTGTTGCCCTACTCGTCGACTTCATTTCGGTCATTTTATGGCGGTTGGGGCTCGATACAGTGTTTGGTGATTTTCTAGAAAATAAAAACAGCTCTGAACAAAAAAATTATACCACGTTTATAGACTTACCCTAAGGTATCTCTGAGCGAAATATGAGGATAGTGATTTTTCCGATCATGTGCCACCTCCCACGCGGTGATAAAAAAAATTCGCTCTTAAGTACTTGAATTGTGTGAGGTAAATTTCAAAGACGATTGCAAATAAAGACCACGTATGAGGAAGAAGACAAAAACTGGCATCTCAGACAATTATTTGCGTGATGGCTAATCAATGTATTTACTACAATATTTAATATGTATGATCTATGCACCTTTGATGTCCCTATGAATAATTTCTTTTGAATGTAGAAAAGATACTCCTTCCAACATTTGCATGGTGTACTTCCTCGACTCTTCTTCTGAGAGAACCTTTTTCTCCTTTATGCGATCATACAATGATCCCTATCAATAACATCAAACAATGCTTAGCGTGCTTTGCGCCAAAATTTCGGTATTTTTCATGTAGATTAGATAAACAATAGCATGCATTTAGTGCGAAATTGTGCTCGTATACTTGTCCTTATCTGTTCCTTGAAGAGAACAGGTTTCCGAGAGCGAAGCTCGAGGAAAACTACGAGCTTCAAGGAACTTTTAGTGTCCAAGGACAAACGTACGAGTATAATTTCGCGCCAGATGGAGGCTACTGTGTCTATCATCCTATGTAATATTTTTGCAGCGCGGAAGACTAAATGTCCACGAAAAGTTTACCTTTCACTGACTAGGATGTTCACTTTTCAGTGTTCGCTGGTACGACTTCATAAACAAACAAGTATGTCCCTTCTTTGCAAAAACACTAAAACACTGTCTTATCTTGAATTTTATTCTTAACACCGACTTTAGGGACTCACTTAGAGAATATTACCCGATTTTCCTTTGTTTTCGGTGGGGTATATTAAGTAACGTGACGTTTTGAGACCAAACGCGCTCGAGCAAAAATATTTCATGGATTACAATTCACAACTATTCATTAAAGTGGAGGTGGCTGGTGGTGGATATTTACCGGGCCGCTACTGAGCCACAGACACAGAGGTAAATAGTTGCTTTAGTATATTCAGGAGATTATTGGCAATTTATAATCTATTGGTATAAACTAAATCAGTGAGATAATATCAGATGGCACAAGAAGATGGGCCTCGTTGGCTATCTATCATCTCACATCCAACGTGCAATCGTGGAATGATTGCTAAATATATTTACAATAGTAATGAAGTTAACCAAGGTAGATTGAAGAAATATAGAATCAGAAAAAGTCAATGTTCGCTATCCAGAATTGGAAGTCGCTTAGAGAAAGCGTTATCAGCTGTATCCTGAGCTATAGTAAAACTTAAGTGTATTTTGATTTCAGTAACGCCCCTCATCTCAATTAATACCCATCAAGACTTTAGAACACTCAAAAGGTTATTGTAATCATTCATCAACTGTAGAGGCATTAAATATTGCTCTTCTTTAAACTTACCCCTCTCATCAATTCCATAAATAGATGGAGATGATTGTCTTTCTCTACGCTTCCATAATAGGCCACAACTCGTTCGTGTCTGATTTTTTTCAAAATATTGATTTCAGTTGTGAGTTGCTTCATCTCCTGGAATTTCGAAGAAATAAATTTTTCAAGATAAATGAATTCTTCGTGAATCCGAAGAGAAAGCTCATTTTTAATTAATAGACAAATTTTTTGATGTAGCAGTAATCGTATAGCTAAAAATCGGACATTTTCTTAAATGAAAACATTTACATCAAAGGGTACAAGACTAACCTCTTGCGATTGAGTATACTGAGGCTCTATCTTGACTATTTTCACAGCACACGGGCCTCCATAGTTTCTCCATGGAAAAGAACACTCATACACCTGAAAAAATTGCCCAGATTAAATCGTTTATCAGTTGCCGTTTTTAAAAATAAAATCGACTATGTTAGAATGAGCTACATAACCTTCTCTACGCTACAAACAGTGTTGTCTTCGCAACAAGAATGGAGTGTGCCTACGACGGGGTTACCCTGTAAGAAAGCAATTCTGTTCTCTGTTGGAGTTGTTGCAACGTGGTACGTGACTTCCTCACTTAATTCTGTAGAAATGATATTGCGAGACTTCTTCGAACTTTATTACCGATGACTAGGAATAGCTCTAAATTTGCGTCGAATCCTTCAAATTTTGTTTTAAATTCCATCAAATAATATATATATTTAGCCAAGCCTAAAAGCGGAGCTCCTGTAAGTTTATTTTCCAGCCCTTCATTATAATAAAAACTGTTATAAAAGTCTTCAGCACTGGTTGTAGAAGAGTTTCTTCGAGGGGATTTAGGACCAGTCCGGGAAGTGGGGGGGAGGATTTGACAAGGTCACGCCACCTGCCAAATTGTACCATTTCCCGGGGCGGGTAAATAGCAACAGAGGAACCAAACAAAGGTTTGTAAACATGCCGAGCGCCGTAATTTACGTTATTATAACGTGAGCAGAGACGAAAATCCTCACAGAGGAAACGCAATTGACAGTTTTGAATTCAGTAGTAGAATTCATACTAATCATGAATCATGCCGAGGTCCATCGCGGCTAGCTCAACATTATGATATCCGGTCATCTCAGTGAAGAAGCCTTAGAAATAACATCGGCCGCCCTTCGAGTGAACAACTAAGAGCTTGCTCTAACATACTTTCCGATGCGTTGAGGTCCATGAGGATGACGCATCAGCCACAGCAGGCGAGTTTTACGGCGCTGTCATCCCGAGCAAACTTTATGTTCCTGTAAGTTCGGCTGTAGTTCATTCATAAAGCACAAGCCTTGAACAGTTTGTTTCTTAATTGTCATGTGAAAAAACTTGCGTGTTTTTATAATTATGAGCTTCGATTCGGCCGGATTTCACTGAACATGTCTTTCAGTTTCTATTTTAGAGACTTGAAACTTCAGGCGAAAGTGTCAAATTCGACCTGCCGACCTGCCCATCAGTTTGTAAGATAGTGCAGATTGTTAACTTCAAGTTTGTGGTTCGACATTTTTGACAGCTTCAGTCTTGTACAACTAATCAGACTATTTGAACCATTCTAACAAGGATTCTAATCGGCTTATTGTTTATGAGAATGTGGAGCATGCTGACGACACTGTTGTTTGCTTTGGAAATAATATTTTTGTCTTAAAAATTGAAAATAATGCGTGGGAATTCAACAGATTCTTTATTATAGAGAAAAAAAAACACTTAGGAAGCGGTAGGAGTACTCAAGAAGTGGGAGAAACTAAGAGATGTGGACACGTGTTTCACCCTGCTCTTCTTTCGTGCTTTAGCCGCTTTCTGCGTGCTTTACAACAGAACAGAGCACAGTTAAGGCCTCTCTTTTTGTGAATTGTTGATCGCGCGTGAATGGTCTAAACACATCACGTGACCGAATAGCCCCCAGGTAAATTGGGGAATATCGTATTTCCTCGAATAAGCGCCCGTCTCCGAATAAGCGCGCACCAGTTAGGCCAAACATCAAATAAGCGCCCCCCTCGAATAAGGCCCCCCCTCAATCAATTACAAATTAGTAGGGAAACAAATAAAACCTGGTTCTATTGCCAATGTATTCATAATCTTAAAAGACAGCGGGATCAGCAAAGGATAATAGTTTCTCTTACGTACCAGTTATTTCTATCTCCGCGTGCTTGCAGAGTTCCCCTATGTGTGTTATCTGTTCTTTTAAATTTTTGTCATATTGCTGCGCTCTTGACAAATGCTGTTATCTTCCCAGGCATAACTAGACCATTCTCTAGCCTTCGAGGACCAGTAATTTCTAGCATTATTGAGTTATTGGGATGTGTTTGAAGAGCGTAGTCGATAAGGAATGATAGGTCAATCAGAATGCGACCAACAAGCTATAAACTGTCAGAGCCATGCACATGCTTCACTTTGTAATTTCTAATTACATCGTCGTCATACTTCTTGGCCTCTTCCCTTTGAGCTCTTTAAGCAAATAAGTCTTTCCCCATTTGTATATACAAACGAAAGATTTAAATATTGACTTCACGTCTACGTCTATTTAAGATGTGGCCAAAATAAAGTTACTGTTCGTTGAAAGGACAACTTAATAAGCGCCCCCTTTCAGCCGAAATTTTAAGTGGGCTTCCAGGCTCTTGTTCGAGGAAATACGGTTTATATGCGTTGTTGACCAAGCGTGAGGTTAAGATTGGCTGGATATTGGACAAGTTCTTTTTTGTATTTTTACGGACCGAGACAAAGCAGAGGTCCATAAAAATGCAAAACAAAAAACAAAAAAAAAAAAAGAAAGAACGAAGTTAAAATCCAGCCATCTTGACCGAATAAGCTTGGTAAATAAAGGACTTATTGTACAGCAAAAAGGTTTCGCTTCAATTTTAAGAGAATCAAGAATGACTTATCAAATTTCGAGCTACGGTTTTTATAACACAATAAATTCACAATACTCGTTCATGCCTTTTTTTGTTTTGACTGTCTTCTACCGCATTTAAAACTTCATGGCTAACATTTTCAAAAAATTTCTAAATTTGTTAGTCCACCCACGCAATTTTTCTTTTCTTGCGCGGTATCAAAGCGGGAAAGCGCAAGATGAGCTCGTCTTGCCCGCGCGGGTAGCCAATCGGAACACATTATTCACTTCATATTGCCCACGGGTGCTGCCTGCTATTTGGTAACCGGTTTTATTCCCCAGTTTTTAAACCTTACGTCCACCACGATAAAAGTCTGCCTTTAAAGTGTAATCCAAGATGAGATAATTTTTTGTGGTTGTCACAGAAGAAGAGATACATTTTTTTTTCATTAATTCGTAACAGAGAACATCGAAAAAGGAGCATGCAAACAACAAGCTGATCGTTAACATTTTGTTCCACGCGCTGCAATGATATTATAGGATAAGAAACACAGTAAGCTTTTTTTACTATGTGATCCAAAGACCATGATTCCAACCTACGCTTAGAATTAGAGCTAATCCGAACTCACTGTTGATTGAACAATAGGGCTACTCTTTCAGATTACTCAGTTTCAATAAGAAGCACATTTTAACCAAATATTATTAGTCGGTCAAGTCTCACAAAATGCCGAGTACAATCACGTTATTTTCTGACATTTATTTATTTTTACGTCAGATCCTCGTTTAAAATATAAGTTAACGTACCTTGCCAAAAGCTCCGGCTCCAAGATATTTGCCCAATTTCCAGTCTCGAAAAGGATAGGCTACAAGGAAAGTTGTGAACGTGTTCAATTGTTGGCTTTCTGGGTTTCAGGACTGACTATTTATGAGCCATATCTTAGTTTTTAGTGTTTCTTTCCTTAGATTGAGTATTACAAGATCAAACTTTAGGGCAGTGAGACCCACTAGAAAGGAAACTATTACTAAGTTCGGACGGACCTAGCTTGCTCGAGCCGGGCTGGGGAATATTGGTCCGAGGTTACATGCAACAAACTGGATATTTTGGCTAAACAGTTGTAGAGCAAAAAACAGTAAGCAACCTTTAAGATAAAGTAATCCCCTTCTCTGACTGAACTTCACGGTATGAGCCCTTGGCCCGACATGTTCTCAATTGTGGGTTATGAGTACAACACTTCTTTAGACTTGTAGGTCATAACGATCGAAAATACGAATGGTCACATAGCTATGTGTGAAAGCTCAGGGAGTGGGTAAGGTAAGTTCTTAAAACCCCCTTGGTCAACAGACATTCCTCCCTGAGGCTGGACGGGGCATGTCTTGTTCATCCTGGTTGAAAGCCTGCACTGCAGGACTGGAAGCCAGACTTTTACCCTGTCACTCCCCGTCCACTGAGCTAACACTCCATGGCTGGAGGGTGGTTGGGTGTCTAAAGTATTCCTTTGGGCAAGAGGGCTGAATTGACATTGCCTTTAAGCCAGCCTGGCCTAAGAAAGTGCAGAGGGCTTAACCTCGCAGCAAGTGCCCGCATGCAGCCCAGCAACCAACTTATTCAAGGGTGGGTTGCAAACGGCTCTTTGTGGAAAGCTCGGGGGTGGGAAGGGTAGGTTTTTAACTTATCACTCATGAGGGATTTACATTTTGCATAAAAGTGGACATCTTGGTCAAGTTCTTATGAGGCTGAATTTGTTTTGGGCTTTGTCCATTGGTCTAGAGTCAGACCCATGCTTTGTGGCATTCCTTCAAGGGAACTAGATCATTTTGGCTGCCCGGGGCTGGGGTAGGGCTGGTGACATTTTCAATATTGAAAGGTTTTTTCTTGGATACTGACTTTGAGTTTGTTTTTTGAGCATTTTTTGGTGAATTTACTCAAATGTATACATACATACATGTATAAACCCCTTTTTGAAAACGTTGCAAATTTGAAATTATATATTAATCATATATCCCTTTTATCTTCTCATCAAAAAGACACTTTCTGATATATACCCATATACATGCATATATATACATATATATATATATATATATATATATATATATATATATATATATATATATATATATAAATCAAAATGCAGTATGGTTAAAATGAATATGATGCCTTCTCTCCAACATTCAGTGCTATCAACTAGTGTAAGTAATTATGACTCCTCATAGAAACAATATGTGTATTTGAATAAAGTGATTCTCGCAGTAATGTGCAGTACTTTTAAAAGAAAATTACTGTCGTACAAATTCAAGCAGTGCAAGGTATGTGCTCATGGCCAGGACATGTCACCAACAGTAGGTTATGGGTATATCAGTACTTGTGACGAGTAGGATTTAAAATTGATATATGGACAGCTGACAAGGAAAAAAATTAAAATCACTAATTAGCTAACGCTTACCCTCAGAAGGATCAAAGATGGACGACAATCTCGGCGTCTGTGAATAAGAGACCGAAGGTACCGGCGGGGAAGCTTCTTGGCCATCCTGTGGAAAAGCCCAAGAACAAAATTACCATTTGGTCATCGTTTTTCATCCAAAAAGGCTCTTTTAGAGTTTCTGCGCACGCGTTTCAATATGTTACTTTTTCCTAATGGTTGGCTTGGTTAAAACCAATTCTATTCAGCTATCCCTCACTCGAGTTTGCGAGAGAAATACTGAAACTTAGGAATGAAATTATGAAAGTAGGATAAGAAACACAGTAGGCTTTTTTACTCTGTAATCTAGAGACCGTGATTCCAACCTCCGCTCAGTGTTGATCGAACAATAGGGCTACTCTCTCAGATTACTCAGTTTCAATGAGAAGCACATCTTAACCAAAGATTATTAGTCGGTTAAGTCTCACAAAATGCCGAGTACAATCATGTTATTTTCTGACATTTATTTACTTTTACCTCAAATCCTTGTTTAAAATATAAGTTAACGTACCTCGCCAAAAGCTCCGGCTCCAAGATATTTGCCCAATTTCCAGTCTCGAAAAGGATAGGCTACAAGGAAAGTTGTGAACGTGTTCAATTGTTGGCTTTCTGGGTTTCAGGACTGACTATTTATGAGCCATATCTTAGTTTTTAGTGTTTCTTTCCTTAGATTGAGTATTACATGATCAAACTTTAGGGCAGTGAGACCCACTAGAAAGGAAACTATTACTAAGTTCGCACGGAGTAACTCACAACCTAGCTTGCTCGCCGGGCTGGGGAATATTGGTCCGAGATTACATGCAACAAACTAGATATTTTGGCAAAACAGTTGTAGAGCAAAAAACAGTAAGCAACCTTTAAGATAAAGTAATCCCCTTCTCTGACTGAACGTCACGGTATGAGCCCATGGCCCGACATGTTCTCAATTGTGGGTTATAAGTATAAGAGTTCTTTAGACTTGTGGGTCATAACGATAAAGACCCAGACCCATGCTTTGTGGCATCCCTTCAAGTGAACTAGATCATTTTGGCTGCCCGGGGATGGGGTAGGGCTGGGGACATTTTCAATATTGAAAGGTTTTTTCTGGGATGTTGACTTTGAGTTTGTTTTTTAAGCATTTTCTGGTGAATTCACGCAAAAGTATACATACATTTGAGTGCTATCAACTAGTGTAAGTAATTATGACTCCTCATAGAAACAATATGTCTATTAATAATCTTCGTATGAAGTCTTACACCAAATAAGTTATCACTTAATGTTTTTATTTTACATTGAGATTTCTCAAACAACGCTTTTCATTAACATTATCCTTAAAGGGCTAAAGTTACCCTTTGAGATTGTGCACTAAGTTCTTCCATTTTAACAATCACTATTGTTCGGCCTATAATAACCGACAAGAGGCAGAGAGCGACGTCGTAAAGGCAAACCGATCACAAAGTGTTTTGCTCACGTACTGTTAAGAATGATGCGAGGTTTAAACAACTTAATATGTAGACAATATTCGCTCTGATCTTTTCCTGTGAGTCTCAATAAATTTAAGGGCTTTCCCTCTCGATGAACACACAATCTGAAGATTATGTTCTGCCTTTCGAGGGCAAACATAAGAAATTGATCATGAGCCAGCTCTCACGAGCTTTATCGGCAAATCGACAGAACTAAAAAATAGCAGCTTTCTTGGGAGGACAGGTTTATCCAAAGTAATCCTTACAAAAGACATTCAAAATGTCTGTTGAAAAGAACTATTTTTTTACAAAACATTAACCGCAGGAGTTCGATGTTACCAAAAAGTTGAAGGGCGGGAGTGTAAGCGAAGTCCACTACATCGTTGTTGAGGTGATATATTTAAATGACACTCGCATCTTGTTGAAAACAACCAATGAATATTTGAATCAACGTTTGACGAATTGTTCAGTGAAGTATTAGTAAAATATTTATTCCAAAACAACACCAAATACGTATCGCTAATGTGATTGTGTGTACGAGCTATTGGAGGTGGCAAAATCCCAGGATTGAACGGATTTTATGAAACTGGACGGTAAAAGATACCAACGGCCTGTTCGTGTCACCATGTCCTCCGCTTTAAATGCGCATGCGTGGGTCGTGACTAAGCCGCTTTAAAAAATATCTCAAATACAATTATATACCCGAACCACAATCTTCAGTTGGAGTTTTGGACAAACGCCACTCAGAAACGCATGATAAGTTTCTATTTGCTTTTCATCTAGAATTTAGCTCGCATTTCTCCCTTACCTCACCAGAATATTTTGCGCCGACAAGACTCGAAGAAGAGTTAGGAAAATCACTGTCGTACGAGTTCAATCAGTGCACGGTATGTGCCACAATACGTCCTTAATAGTAAGTTATGGGTATATTAGTGGGATATTGTCTTGTTGTATTAAAATTGATATATAGACAGCCGAGAAGAACAAAAGAAAAATAACTATTCGCTAACGCTTACCTTGAAAAGCAGAAGAGTTGGACCTCAAGTTCGTCGTCTGTAGAGCTGAGACTGGACGTACCAGCATGCGGTTTTCTTGGACATTCTGTGGAAAAGCACAAGTCTAAAATTACCATTTGGCTGTCGTACATCATCCAAAGAGGCTATTTCAGAGTTTCTGTGCACGCCTTTCAATCGTGTTATCACGCTCCGACAATCTAAAATCAGCCGTCATAATGGCGGATTTTCAAGCGAAACGTGGCGGAGGTGCAAGTTAGTTCTTTACTTTTATGTTTTTTGCAATTATTATTCCATATATTTTTAATACTGCGCTTAGTATATTTCCAGCTCTGTTACGTCCCCTTTATTGTGTATTTATTGTGTGTTATTTCGTACCTTCGCATGTTGTTGACACCAGGTTGCACAAGCAATAACAGCAATGTCGAATGTGTTTGAAAAATGCGATATATTTGATTAATGATACGTGCTGAGATTTATTCCAGGGGAATTGTCTCCTAAAATGATAAACAGCACAAATTCCGATTGGTCGAACGGTTTTTATCACGGTATCCGCCGCTTTCGCCCCCTATCGAGTTCGCCCCTTCGAGTTCGCCCCTACCTTATACCGTGTTCGCCCCCACACTTTTCGAGTTCGACCCCATCAAGTCGAGTTCGCCCCTTGATTGAGTGATATCCAGATGAGTTGATTCGTAAGTTGATGAGTAAATTTCTACAGTCTTAATTTCATAAATAAAGCTAAAAGGGTACAAGTCTAACAACTTAAGCAATGCTGTCGCGATGAAAGCGTGGTTTGCATCTTCTCAAGTCTGGTTGTTACGATCACCACATTTCGTATTCGTTAGATAAACCGTGTGGTTCTCTTTATCACAAGTTCAGTGTATACAGTTATTTCTGGTAACTCCAGATCCCACGCAGAGTATTTAGTTGATTCCGTCAACCCAGTTCCCAAGCAGGTTCCACGCAATTGCCGAAATTCAAAATGGTCGTCGCTGACGTGACATTTGGCACATTCTGCTAGTGCCTTCGTCACAAATCAACTCATCTGGATATCACTCAATCAAGGGGCGAACTCGACTTGATGGGGTCGAACTCGAAAAGTGTGGGGGTGAACACGGCATAAGGTGGGGGCGAACTCGAAGGGGCGAACTCGATAGGGGGCGAACGCGGTGCAATTCTTTATCACAAGTGAGAAGTAATTGGGTGACCAATCACAGGCCGCAGGCGAAATTTTCCACCAATGAAAACAGTCGTATCGGTTCTCCTGCCTTTAGTGGCGCTGCACCTCGCCAAAATGAATGAAAGTGAATTTTAACACTGAACGTTCGCTGCTTTCCCAGAAAAAAATGTAAAAGTATTTAAAGCGTAACCAATTATTCTGTGGTACCTGAACAAAAGCAGGCAAAAATGTCTCGTACTTTGAATGAAGTAACCAAAGAGAGCTTAGGGATAACGTCATTTAAAAAAAAAAGAGTTGTTTCATGTGACCAAAATTCGTATGTGAAAGTTAGATTAATTTTTGATGCTGTCAGGACTATTGATAATGTTTTAGGATACACAAAACAAAGTGGGAAGTCTGGAAACATGGTAACAATTGATTTTGAAAAGGTATTTGTTGCCCTGGATCATGAACTTCAAATAAAAGTCCTTTACACTTTCAGTTTTGGGCCATCCTTTTTTCAGTGGATTCGAACTTTCTATTCAAACGTTTAAAGCTGCGTCATAATGGTTTTGCAACAAACTGTTTCAGTGTTCACTGGGGAATGAGATATGGGGATCCTTTATGCCCTCTTTTGTCCATTCTAAGTCTAGAAGTTCTAGCGTGTAGTATGACATTGAATACGGAAGGTTAAAGATGCTTGGCTCAGAATCTTTGATTCTGGCACAAAGAACCATGTGTTTGAAGAGGCTTTTTGAAGATTATGCTAGCAATTGGATAGCTTTTTTTCAGTTTTTACACATATGGAAAAGTATCTAAACCGGGGTTTTACGAAGAATGCCTGGATGCATGGTTCACTCTCACAGGAAAGGAAAATGTTCTTGTAAAGACATAATGAACCAACTTGTGTGGAATAATAAATACATTCTAAATGATGGTAAATCTTTGTATTATGCCTTCTTTAACAACACGTGTAGAATTCGTAAAGTCGGAGATTTAGTTTCTCAAGACAATATTTTTCTAGGAAGTGGAAAAAATCTCAGCTCAACATTTCCTCTTATTATGATTGGTCAGCGTCATACCGAATGAATGGCGTTCCACCATCAAGGGAAAAGTGTTTATGTTGAACTCTTCCCCCTTCCTTCCCCCCCCCCCTCCCGTATCCTTTCATTGAAAATTGTTTTCAAGTACCAATAAGGGGCAAGATGTTTGATCTTTCAAGCATCTCCAAAATACTTTACAGAGTTCCGTCCCTGTACTGCTCAGTCTTTAATGTTACTTTGGACACAAAAGTGAGAGTATTTCAATATAAATTTTGATATAGATTAAATTTTTTCAAAATCAAGATTTCTTGCAAAGTTCTGTATCTCTAGGTGTAAGCTCCATAATACAAAACCATCTTTAGAAGTTTTTAAGGCTAAATTAAAAGCCACTCTTAAGAAATGGTATGCTGGTAAACCATTACGAAAAGTGGGAATCTTTTATTCCCTTATCAGTGTAAGCAACTCCCCTTTCTACCATTCTATCATTAGCATATTTGAATAAAAATTGTATCATGCCACGCAAATTCCATGGTATTTTGTGTAATAAGCTGGTTTTATTAGACGTTCTACTTCCCTGCTCTCCGTAGTATTATGTACTATAAAGTAATTGCAATGTTAGCATTGTGGTGATGTTTAGTATTGTAAGTAATGTTATTTTGAGTTCATTGTGTAGTGTAAGTGGGGTAAATAAAATAACTGCCGTAAGTAATGTTTCTGTTGTAAGTAGTACTGGTTTTTGACAGTAAAGTTTGTTTGTAATGTAAGAATGTAATAAATGTCGGTAATGGTGGTATTATAAGTAATGTATATAAGTAATAATGTGTATTTTTAAATAAAAATTAAAAACAAAAAAAATACACACCAATTAGTAAGAGAAAATAAGAGGACCATTATTTATCTTGTTCTATTACTTATTCCTGGATAACTGTCAACAAACATGAAAAAAAAAAGTTTACCGGTATTTAAAACATGCAGATTCAATTTGGATTACCTTGAATTCCTTAGGCGTGGAGTCCCTCTTTCCCGGCTTAGAGAACATCTTTAAATATTCCCTTTTGAAGGCAAAGAAAGCAATATCCTTAATAGACTTAATTACTTTTACGGATATTTAAACAACGCAAAAAAGAGACTTCCTTACAGAGTATATTCACAAAAATATTAGCAAAGAACAAGCGATTATAATTGGCAAAAATAAAGATATCAGAACTGAAAATGAACCCGACTTGAAGCGGCAGTATACGCAGAAATGGCGAATACGCATCGTATGTCATCTTGTAAATAATCTTCTTCAAGCGGTATATAAATCCAAATTCACTGCAAGCATTGATTGAAATTCAAACTACTCCCCATTCGAACCTAGACTACTGAATTTTCCTTGACTCGTTGCAATTTTATGAGTTTCAGGCAGTCAAGAAAAAAATCTACATTTCCTTTTGGATGAAGGAGCACGAATATAAAGATTTTCTGGAGGATAACATATTTTGAGACACCGATTAGGCCACCCCGCCGCAGGGGCAAAGATGAATGACATCATCGCACGTCATTAGCATAACGCGCAATGGCGAATATTGACTAGAAGGAAGTTCTGAACTTTATGTTAGATCACCGTGTGTAAGTTGCAATATTTGGGACAAGAACAATGCATCGTGTCTCTGGAAACATCCTCACGTACGAACAGGATAGAAATTTTCTATCATGGGTAACGAATGAGGGGTTGCAGGGAGGAAACAGTAACGCGATGAATGTTCATTCATCTTTCACTTTACGAGGCTAGAGTAAGGCATTGGTTTATGAGCTGCAATCGTTTGAAAACACAATAAAAATGAAGACAAGGCTATTTGGTGAAATTTTACTATTAGCGAGCTCAAGCCAGGGCTTAGGGTATCCGCGGACTCGAAGGTTTGGAAAACAAGCGAACAAGCAACTTAATGCACATACCTACATCGTTATGGTTAATAAGTAATTCTAGGAAACCAAGTTGATAGTTACAATAAGGTTTCTAACAATTTCAAGGAAAACAGTAAAAATCAAAATGTATTCGGAACCCAGAATATTCCATATTCTCATTCTGCATTACAAGACAAAAGAAATGGGAACGCAGCCTCCGGACGCACTTGTATTGACAGCTGTGTATTAGTAACCATTTTAAGGGCTGCAGAGATAGTTTCGCAAGCTCCTGGAATCCTCGATTAGAAAGATGGTGTCTCTGCGCATAAGTGGCTTGTTCAATAGACAAAGATTCCGAAAAGTATTGATCTAAGTGTTTTCAAAATAGTCAGGTCGAGTCTTTCGCTCCTGACATCGAGAAGTCTACTCAAAGGAAACTTGAGCACCACATAAATGAAAGACAATGGTTAGTTACACACCTTCAGATTTTTTCCGTTAGCTTATGTGAGTCGAAGGGAGTTGATTTACCCGTATCTCAATACGAAGTGATCTACTTTAGAGCCAAGCCAAGATGTTGAAAGTGGCGGTAGCCGACGCGAATCTGTAATGACGAAATTCGCTATTAATACCCATGTCATACGCATTAGCTACGTCTTCGGCCAAACCTACGCAGTCAAGCGACAAGTCGTGAGTCACACGATATTATAAAATAATTCAAATAGTACGCGCGCTCTGATTAGCCATAAAACCATTTTATATGAGCGTATGTAAACACGGTTTTCGTTCCTCTTTCATTAGTTATTTTATAAAAGAAATTTAAAATGGTTTCCGTGTTTACATAGCCTGATAGATACTTCGCGTCGTGGTTTCCTACGCTTATCTCGTGTTCTCCCAACCTCCCGCGTGTTTACATCAGGCTATGTAAACAAGGAAACCATTTTAGATTTCTTCATTCGTTCTCGTTCTCGTACCCTTTCGTGTCTCTCAAAGTCAAACTACTTTCATTCAATGATCAGCGTTGGAAAGCCTGTTGCATTTATGAAATACGACAGAAAAAAAAGATGTTGTCGCGCAGGCTGTTCTGTGCATCCTTGTTCCAAAAACGTTGTTGACGTGTAAACGCAAGAGAATATAAACTGTTTACATTCTCCTGTTGACACATGACAATGCCTAAATAAAAAAAAGGTTTCTGGATTTTTCTGAACTGAGCTTCACCAGCAGCTCATTACCTAATGGGCCTCTGGCTTTATTTATTACTTTCAATATAACTCATTAGTTCAATCTCACTTTGATTACTGCAGCCTAGTCTGGGGTAATTGTGGCAGAACATTATCTAACAAGTTATAAAAACGACAAAACCGTGCTGCACGTGTAATAACTTCATCAAACTATGATGTAGATGTCGATTCCTTGTTTCACAAATTAAACTCAGCAGGAAAGACTTGAAATCTCAACGTCGAATTCAGAACGCCGTAATGGTTTTCAGGTCTTTTTACGGTCTGGTTCCCAAATATCTCACGTCTAAATTTAGAAAGCGAAATTAATCAAACTATTCTCTGAGGGACTCAGTAAACAATAAACTTGTTGTCCCCTTTCCAAGAACTAACTACATGAAAAAATAGTTTTAGTTATAAAGGCGCAACATTCTGAAATAGCTTACCCTGTAACATTAGAGAGTCTGGTTCTTTAAACCAATTTAAATGCCTTCTCAATCATAATTTTTAAACACGGCATTCATGGAAATCAGGTTTTTAAGTGGCACATTGTTGTAAGTTAATATAATGTTCGGTTTAGGATTTGTAGGTTCTTAGGATATCAGTCATTGTATTGGAATTTTTTGTACCGTGTATAAATAATGATTAAATAAATACATTAAATAGATAAATAAATTTCAAGTCAAAAGGCGTGCTGTCTAACAACGAATATCAGGAAATATGTAAATAAAAACATTTTGTCAGGTTTCAATTTCTTTTGCGACCATCGGCACTTGTATTTGGCACGCTAAAGGCTAATATTGACAAGGAATTCGAAGGGTTCATTTGGTGAAAGTTCATTGAATGAAAATTGAAAAACGTATCAGGAAACTATCAAATACAACTTTGCGATCACCTTATGTTAATATTTTGTCTTCCCAGTTTTGAGTTCACAATCAAGCATTTTACAAGCTGTAAGTAGCAATTTTCGCGTAACAATCGAAGTTTGTTGAAAGATCCATGGTAAACAACAAACCATGTGGCTGTGCCATTCTTTTATTTAATGAAGTGAAGAAGAAAACAGTTTTCAGGTAGGTATTTGCAAGGAGTGAATTTGCCATACGTCTGTAATCGAACAGAAGGGGTTAAATAAATTATGACCGTCCCATTTTAATGCATCGAGTACCCAACTGCAAAAAGAAAAAAACCTTTATCACGTTAAAAAAAGAAAGAATTGGAAAGTTTTCAAGCTCCTCAAGCTGTTGTTCTAATTCTGTTTCCCTTTTCTCTCCATCCAACTACGTTAACCCCGTGTAATTCCACGGCGAAATGAGTTCAGTTAAATTTTGAAAGGCCTGGGAAGCAGTATGACCCAACGTCGACAACAATAACTCTGATTACCCAGATAGACATCGCGCACCAAGAGGCGAAAGCAATACAGCCCATATTAAACAATCTTCTTTCGCACACTTATAAATATTGCACGACGAGAGACCGAAAAAAATATTTTAAAAAAACCAAGGTAATTTGTTC